ACCTGAAAACGGCAACAACAACAATCTGCGCTGTCGGGAGAAGGCATGACCGTTGTGCTGCAGCCTACATCGCCGACCGACGTCAATGGTTCATCGAATGACTTTCCCTAGTGTCGGGTGACAGAGCTTTTAGAATCCATCCATGAGTAAACCAACCCGATGACTGCAAACGTATTACTACTATATCCGAGGTGCCATCCCCTCCCCCTCCCCCCTTATTCCGTTCTCTATGGTTCTCGAATCGGGGTGTAATGGAAATCATTTACCATTTTATCACATGCTGTATAGATATATATAGAATACATATGTACATATATATATATACACATATGCTTCATTAAACCCACTATTACTTGACAATACATTTGTGCAACTGGACATCACATGGAGATACATGCATATTTTATATCACATCGTTACAGCATGAAATGAATATTCTTTTAATTAAAAAAAACAAAATAAAAAATTGGGATTATTTCTCTAGTAATTTTTCATACATTTGTTAGTAATTGTTGTAAATATGTGATATAAAATTTGCGAACGTAAATAGACGTAGCAAAAAACCTGAAAGAGAACTCGGAAATATTTTTTCGATCTTTTTTCACGAAAATAAACGTGACGTGTCTCAAATGAAACACACGTCTCTTCGAAGAGATGAGATCTGATCGCGCTTGATTGTATTCGGAGACAAATTAAACCGCTAATTGCGACTTCCCATGAGGATAATCTCACCTCATTAGATAATCCTGACATTGCTGCACATCGGTTCTAATCGCGCGAGGCTCAATAACGTCAAAGACCGTAATTACCCGATTCCGCAGCCGTTCGGAATGGATCTCGCATCCGTACAAGCTCAAAACGCGAGATATCGAAAGCAATAGAGACATGGTCTTTCTCTCCATAACTTTGACCTAGATTTCCTAAGATTTTATCGCTGCTCTTGCGAGCTTCGTTGATTTTTAAATTAAAAAAAAAAAACAATTTAATTTTAGCTGCCTTCGAACGGTAGAAACTTCGTGAAAAATTATTTGCAGGTAACGTCTTATGTCATATGATGTTGCAATGATAATTAGAATTAGTAGAGAAATTTGTTTGTTCTCATCCGAGACACCGCATAGATCTCAACGAGGCATATCCTCTTTTGCAATACGGAAAACAACAAGTGATTAGTTACTTTCAGGATATAATTATATGTCTGCGTACGTATGCGCAACGCCGTCTCCGTAATCTTCGCTATTTATAATCTCAATGGCATTCCTCGTCCTACCTCGCTATAGCATACGGCAAATGATTTTTTGTCACTGGGTCTTCTTTTAAATATCGTCGACGTAATTGTCGTCAGTTTAAAGCAGCCATTATATCTTTTCGTTTTTCATCCAGAGAAAAACGGTGAGTAATATTTCTTAAAACTAACCGTTCTAACTGATAGCTTGCATATCAAACGTAAAAAAATCCACTCGCACACAATTTAAAGCCGCAACACAGACTTTTGCATAACGCATAAGCGAATCAACCAATCAGAATCCTTCCTTTCCTCCTATCTGAGGGAAAAAAAGACTTAATTGGTTGATTCTCTCATGCACTATGCATTATATGTTGTGCAAAAATCTGTATTACGGCCATTATACTTGAATGCACACTGAGAAAATTTCTGGTTGAAAATAAACGAAGCAGAAGATTCTGATGATATCAATGCAGAATTTTAGTTATCTCATCTAAAATTATAATGTAATATATAAAAATTGAATAGGTTCAAAGAATAAAGCTCAAATAAGTAAGGTAATAAGATGAGAACCAAACAAGACAATACAAGATGTCCACGTGTAAAAATTTCTTTGTATCATATAGATTCTGTGCAGACGTTTCGACTCTCGCTTTGGGTCTTCTTCAATGTATCACTGAAATAATAATTTCATGATCTCGCATGCCAATAATTTAAGAGATTTGTTACAGTTGTTTGACCTTTTCGCAGACACTTGATGCTTCCATATTTTATTTCTTTATTTATTATTATTTATTATTATCGTCGCATTTATTCTAGTAAGTATTGTCTATTTATAATTTACGTTAAACATATGTTCAGCTCCGTTGTTCTCTCACAAGCTCGTAATAAATTGCAATATACACATTGGTTAACTATATCAGGATATCTTATCATGACAATTTTCTATTGTAAGTTTTAATTTATTGACTATTGTATTATTAATTTCATTTATAGTAATTTCACTGCAACTTTTTATCGTTTTTTTTTTTACGGTTTAATGTGACTAACTATTTAAGTATTCTATCAAATATTAATTGTAAGTTACGACGTTTTAATTTTTATCTCGGATTTCTTATTCTGATTATTTATTTTTTGCGACATACACACAATGAGAAAAATGGCTGGATTAAATACTAATTCTGGTGGAAAATGGAATCAGAATTTTCTAGTTAAATCTACTTGAATTAGAACTGGAATTCTGATATATAATTATTCTGGTAAAAGTAAGAATTCTAGTAGATTTTAGAAATATTGTATCAAACATAATTCCGATTATCTCAACTAGAATTCTAATAAATTCAACTATAAAATTCTGATTCGTTCATTTTCAATCAGAAATTTTTTTTCAGTGCATCTTTAACAAATCTATTAAATTATTGACATAGAATCAAATAAACATCTGCACAGAATCTATATGATATAAAGAAATTTTACACGCGGACATTTTGTGTCGATTCTCATTGGCTTATTACCTCAGTTATTTTAGGATTATAATATTCAGTCAGAAAATGTTCATTTGTTCATTTTCAATCAGAATTTCAATCAATGCAGATTCATTTTCCAATGTAGGTAATGTTTTCTCGTTAACCCTTTGGTTGCATATAAAAATACGCATATGCGTTTATAGCCAAGGTGACATACTCTTGGCGATAAAGAAAGCGCTAAGAAACGATTAATCAAGGTGTCGGTAATCTACATGGGAATAATAAACATGGCCAATGCACCGTAATCGTGGTGCACATGCTTGCCTTGCGCATTTTTAAAAGAGACAGGCAGCTCAACAGTGCCGCGGCGAAAAGGTTAATTCCAGTTAAAGTTCAACCGTGATGTTCCCGACGAACATGCGGTGGGCTGACGATCAGGTATCGATGCTTCGCAACGTCGTAACGACGCGACACGATACGTTCTTCGCTCGGCTACGCGCGATAATTAAGTGTCGCTCGACGACGCTCATCCCGCGGCCTCTAATATCGCGGCCGTCCGATAATATCTGTAATCCGCGCAAAACGATTTCGACGCGCGTGGCAACGGCATGAGCGCGTAGCGTGCCTCATAATTAGTCGGTAGACAGAGGGACAACGGAACAGAGAGAGAGAGAGAGAGACAGGACGCCGATCATAATTGCCGCTCGCGCGTCCGCGGCCGGGCACAATCAATTAAATGGTGCGCGCGTCCACCATCCGAGACGGAACAAGGCCTCCCCCTCCCCCTGGTCCCTGTTATAAATCGACATTCCTTTTTTCCCCTTTGAATAATCCCTAATTGAGTGGTCTGCATGTATATCGGAAAGATAAATTTTGAAAAATCGACGTTGCACCCATGATAAATGCAAATTGTCCATCTGCACTCCAGGATTATCAGCGCAAACATTAATTTTCTAAAATTTATATGTTCTTCTCCGTTTAAAAAAAAAAAAAAAATTTTTTCAAAGTACTTTAATAAAATAAAACGACGCTATCGTGTAACCGTTAAATAAAGTTGCGCTACGACGTGCGTTATCGTTGCATCAGCATTGTATTTAAATTGTTAATGCGTATCTTTATTACCTCGTCCGTGACGTAATCGAGATCGATACGTCGTACAGTTGAACGTAAATTAAATGATATTACTTTACACACCTTATCGTGCTTCCAACGGATTTTTTAACGTACGCAACAATAATTACTCTTCGATAACCGCCGCCGCGGCAACGCTTTTTAACTAACTTGTACGACGCTTCTCTTTCTCGCCAAGTTTTAATGAAATGAAAGGAAAAACTCGAGATAAAGTTGAAGCGCCATGTTACGTCACATGAACTAAAACTTATAAAACTTGCGGAGTCTTCATCCACTTGTCTTGTCTGTGTAATAACTTTAGGAAATACGGCAGCGGGATATTTGCGTGATAACCGCGTAAAGAAATTAATATAAAAAAATAGAAAGTGTGACATATATAATCCAAAATCGTGGCACGAGCGTGAACGTAAATTAAAGCGGAAGAGATTTACAATCCCTTTTTGCTACCGACATAAATGAAAACATACACAAGAAACTATCTTGATAAAGGACAATCACATTACGGAAATTTTAATTAGAGAAAAACCGTTTTTAAATGTGACAGGGAAGAGCTAACTAAAAGAACATTACAGCTAATTTGAAAATTAATTAAATTAAGTACCGCTTTCGTAATGGGTTTGTCAAATGTAATATTCGATATTTTCAATATCAAAGGAAAATTCGATAAAATGTTAAATTATGTTGGAAAAACGCTGACAAAAGGATATTGAAATAATACGTAATTAGCTCCTAGATTATTGATTGGTCGTTTTAATGAGAAGTTAAATTTACGAAATTATATGTACACACATGCTTAAGATTGATTAAATAACTGTACGAGGAAATTACGATAATCCCATTATCACGTTCCGCGTCGATTTTAACTATGCAGCACAATACATATGTCCGACGGACATCGTTAAATCTTAAAAGATAGCTTATCATTAAATAGACAATCGAACAGTATTACCTGTTGCTGCGGAGCGGCATACTGGTGATCCGAAATAACCGCGTCTGAAAACCAAAAACATTTCACAATAAGTATAAAGCGTGAACAATATTACTTGATATAGTTTTACAATTTTTCTTCTTATTATATATTTAATCAATATAATTTTATATTTAATTCGCAAACATTTATTATTCAGAAAAAATATCTTATGAGTCTGCAAAAGTGCTCAAGATTTCGTTTTTATTTTCAGGTATCCATCACCGGTGCAGAATGGAGGACCAAACGGCACGACGACAATGAGTTGCGCGAGTTCTCAAGGTAAGAATAAAAAAAGATCCCGATGTTGAACATCGCGGTGACATTGCCGTAGCTCTCGCTCTCTCCGCAAAAGATTCGAAACAATTCCGCTAATTCAATATGCCGTGCAACATTCGCGCGTTCGTTGCATTTAATTACTACCGACCGCGTACTGGCAATAAAGCCGCCGCGACTCGCAATAAAAGTGGAGAGAGAGAGAGAGAGAGAGAGAGAACCGCATGCCGGTGCTCATTAATTAGCGGGTCCCGAAAAAAATTGCCTGGCAAAATTTTCTTCCGATTAAATTAGCGTTGCATTAAATTTATTGGCTAAATTCTCTTTCATAAACTGGCGCGCGAGCCGATCGCGTGCGCGGTTCACGGCTCTCTCACTCGCTCGTTCGCACGCACAGTCCTCATACGTGTATAATTTGCAAATATCAAACGTCGGGCGGATATTTGAAAATATTGACTCTGGTATTTTAGCCGGGCTGTGCGGCGCGGCCGGGCGGACAGTCTCTCGGCGCAGAAGGGGGGAAAAAATTATCCGCCTCATGACGATTCAATATCGTGCGATTATCGCGGCAAAAGGATATCCAGAGAGAGAGAGGAAGGTATCCACGCACGGATCAGATACAATATTAATTTTATATTTTTCGCTACTGTGTGACAAGCCCCGCGTGGCGAGAGCGAGAGAGAGAGAGAGAGAGAGAGAGCCGCGCGCGTGCGACGAACGTGCGGTCGCGACGACTCATACATACGCACGTGCGTGCACGTATATACGCGCCGCGCACTGCAAAAAGCTTGTCCCCGCGTTTATTCGCGATTGCGAGCGAGCCATTAAACAGATTCGCATGGAATTTCACGACGAAAAAGGGTCGGCGAGCGCGCACGGGCGCTCGGAAATTGCGCGGAACGCGCAATCAATGAAAAAGCTTCATTTCAACGCGAGCTTATTACGAAATTAATTTTCATTATAATGGAATTCTCACAAGTATCACACGCCTTTCTATTTGCGATACTTTTGCATCGCGGGCGTTCGTCATATAGATATACGGAAAACACGTGGCACAGAAATCTCAAGTTTTTCATGAAACGCACCGGTATCGCGGGTCCCTTTAAGTGTAATTTCAATTTTTGCCATGATTTTTTTTTTTTCAACAACAAAGGAGACTTTCCAACATTTATAATTTTCAGAAAACGAGAAAGAAAGAAATTATGCACTTTACAGAAAATAATAATATATGCCAATCAGGAGGATGTGAAATATTAAACAAAATTGTTAAACAATTGCTAAAAATGTTAAATGCATTTCGTTCGTCTCTAATTAAAAAATATTTGAAATGTCCATGTTTTTTCAGTATAAAAATTAATGATGAAATAATTTCTGAACATCTCAGAATAACTCTCAGAGTATAATACGAGTCCTTCGACACTGAACACTAACTAAAAAAAAATGAAATTTTGTACAAAATGCAGAATTGTGCTGTTGAAAGATCATTCGATGAATAATTTCACGATGATTCGCAAGGAAAAGCCGAATCTGCTAGCAGACAAAGCAAGCGGTGTTCGCGAAACCGTGTTGATATCGCCGACAATTGGCGCGAAATTGTAAAAAAATATTTCCCGAGAGCGAGACCGATCCGGACAGGTTGGCGCACGTTATCGGCGATGCGTGTGGCGGGCGCACGACAATCGTGCCGAAATATAGGCGCGGGGCAAAATCCGAGGCCAATTACAAACACGCCGTCTCACCGGGCTGTCAGTCATCAATCCGTGGAATATTTTTCTCTGGGTCAATTGAACAATTCTACGCGTCGTCGGACAGCGAGCGGATGGGCGCGAGTGGGCTGGGTTTTAATGTATTTGCCGTTACCGGGGGCTTTCAACGGCTAACCGGTAAATCTTCTGACGAGCGATTAACTCGTTTCTCTCGGTACTCCTCAGCTATTAAATTACCATCGACGATACCGCCGGCAATAAAACTTGTTCGGGGTGATACTAAACCGAGCAAAAGGTTGCGGTTCGGCCCAAGGATTATACAATAATCTTTTAAATCACTTAAATGCCTCGTTTATTTATTCCCCATCAAATTATCGGCATTACTTTGAGCTTTATTATCGCTGTGTATTATAGAATTGATGGACAACGTCTTTAATGACGTTTCATTCTTTACCGCCAACCGCTTCGACGTGGTAAGATACTCATTTTTATATCGGATTAAAACTATTTTTCACAGTTGATGAAAAAAAATAGACAAGATCTTCCGTTAACAAGCAATTAAATCAAATGAAATGTAGATGCGAAACTTTCGTCAGTCAATAAAAATCATTTCCAACTCTTGGAAACTTTTTATTTGAAAAGTACGAAAGGTTATTTTGCACAATCTTGTCAAGAATTATTTTTCATCTGTGATACACAGCGGTAAATTTCATCTCGACGGGAAGCCGTAGGAGAAAGTTACAACTTACCAAGCTTTTTTCCCCCGATTTTAAAGCCGTAGAAAAGATAAATTCGATCGTTTGAAAAAGTTGGCGAACAAATATCGAAAGTTCGAAGCGCACTTTGATCCCTGGCAAACCGTTTGGTAGCTGTATCTAGCCCGAGCAGAAAATTCAACTGGTGCCTGTTTACCTGTAGCTGCCGAGATTAGAGTTAGACGGTACTCGATGAGTCACTCTCATTTGCTCTCTCAGTTACGCGGAGGAAGTATTTCACAATACGACGAGATGAGTGACAGGAGTTCCTGCGCGAATTAATAGCGCGATAATTCGTGCTAGTTAACGTGTACGTACGCGGGAGGAAAATAGAAGAAACACTTGGGGAATGATTAACGAGCCGTCAGGGGAGTCTAATGTCTGTGTTGAGCTGAGGAACTAAAATTAGGTGAAAGAAGTCTTGCTTCACAATTTATCACAATGTAAATGTAATATTAATAGAAGTAAGTGATTTAATTAGTATTTTTTTTTTTTCGAGAATTAGTAAATTGTAATTCACTCTCAAGGTTCCACTCCTCCAACTTCAGTTATTCATTCTGCATCTATTTTTTATTTTCTTAACTCCTCACAGAGTGAACTAAGAGGGGGGGGGGATGGGGAGTGTTATTATCGCGCGCAGCTATAAAGAGTTAATCACCGCAACAACGTGGCGCGCGGCACGTTGTCGCGTGAGAAAATTTTTCGCTCCACGACGCCCAGGAGGCCTCGAGAAAGCTCCCGGGGTGTGGAGGCGATGAGAGCGATGAGAACGAGGTCCGAAAATCTAAAGGGCGTCGCCCTATCCTTGTCTCTGTGTGCAGGGGTGATGGTGAAGCAAGAGGCGAGGGACGACGGTTACGAGACGAGTCCGGACCTCGAGATGAGGAGCACCGGCGGTGACAGCAGTCAGCAGTATCACACGCCGCTGACACCACACACGCCGCACACACCGCACACGCCGCACACGCCCCTCACGCCGATATCGGCGACAGCGCATCAACCCCAGCAGCCGGGCTCGACCGCCTCCGCCCTTGGACAGGTGAGTTTTTCATATTCGCCTACCCTGCCGCCCCTGACCAGTCCCCCGTTGTTCCTCCCTGCCTTCTCATTCTTTTCCCTCGAGCTCTTTTACGTAGCGACCGATAACGAGCGACTCATCATTATCACGATGTCTCCAAAATAATCAGAGGGAAAGGGTATCTCTTGAGAAAAGATGTATCTCTCGTATGGCAAAATAGTAGCGTTTGAAAGACTATAATTGAGACGTTTTGCGGCTAAATTACAACGTTGAAATGTCGGGAATAGTGCTACGCTTGCAGAATATGTACATATTCGTGTGATTGCTTGTAATTATACGGTGAGGTTGCGTGTGATGGTCGTACGGCATATTCTCAATCGATCTTACGTCAGAATTTTGGATTATATGTAACATTTCTAATCTTCATCTAATTTACATTAACACAACAAGCTGAAATTAACGCTCGTACATTTTTGATTATCTACGTGAATATATAAAAAATGTAAATCCTATATATATATATATATATATATATATATATATATGATATAATTCGAAACGATTAAATACTCTCTTTTGTAATAAAATAATGCTCGTGTAACGCATTGATAATAATATAAAATTTACTGTCCACACGATACGATTATCTCGAAATTCTATAACGTGATAAAGTGCGCGATTTAAAATCTGTAGATCAGAGACGATGATATTTATAAACAAGTAATAATTAAATAAGAAATAACGCGATCGAAGTCGATATGGAATCTTTGCGATCGCGTATTGTAACGTACCTTCAGCAATACTCGATAATCGATAGAGAAAATACATGTTACGTACAAAGAAAAAAAAAACGTACGTAAAACATCAAACTTATTAGCCAATAAAAAACGCAGACGGTTCTCATTAGGAACCGCTGTATTGCCGTATCTAGCACCTCACAATCAAAATTATGAGCAATAAATTGCAATAAAGAACACACGCAATCGCCATTCCGGGATTTGCGCAATACCGCGCGCAACGATTTGCATTTTCATGTTAGTTTTACGATCTACTTACGCAACATTACCTCTGTTGCGGTACAATGAAAGCCGTGGATGGGCCCCGCACGCGGTGTTACTTATTTTCCAGTTAATACACGGACTAAAGATCTTTAAACGAGTTGTTTCGCGAACGTTTACATCTGTGTAATTTCTTTGATTGTTACGCGATTACAAAATTTAACGCAAAACGTGCGATGAAAAAATTTCTGTTAATAAATATCACGGAAATATAATTTCATGATATTTCAGCGTTTCACCGGTTTCACGTTGTTCGATGAAAAATTCTTTTATATTTTTATAATGGAAACCAGATTCATTAATGAAAGGAAAAAATAGAAATTAATTTCTTAGAGATTTCTAATTTTTTCCGAAAAGTAGCAAATTTAAATGACACATTTCGTGACATCCATGTATTTATATATCTGTATCAAGAGGTACAAGATATAATTCACATATTGCGAAAGAAATACAGAAAGGGAGTTATTGCATCCTTCCAGCGGCTTTTGGCTTTTTCGCATTACAAACCGGCAAAATAAAAGCTTTTACAAATGTGATTCGGTTGAATATTTTGACGGTGGTAATTTTCAGGGATTTCAATCAGAACGCACATTTTCCGCTCATGAATTAATTGCAGGTTGCCCAGCTCCCCCAATTTGGCTATCGGCGCTATCGCGCGCGAATTACAGAAATTTCATCCGATATTAAATTGCCATTATATCCGCAAAGTTGTTATCTGCTGTCGGGATCGATAGTCTTTTTCTCGAAAATTATCTCGTGACGTGACGACCGATCGATCTCGGTTTTACCGGCTCCTCATTTTAACGAATGAACGGCCGACGAGCGAAGCGAATTTCCGTTGATCGAATTGTTAACCGTGAACACGTCCCGGATTTATCGAGTTCGCATTATCACGCTCCTCTTTTCTCGATCCTATTTCACATTGTTTTACTTAACCCTTCCCTAGATTTTATGACGTCCAATTGTTTCTGCGTAAACGAGCCAGACATTCATGGTATAGATTCCTTTTTCCGAGACAATTGAAGAAATGAATAGCCTAAAAGGAACGTCACTTTCACGAAAGTTGCATTATTTTTACAGAAAAAAAATTAATAAGATTGTATTATTGTGTGTGTATATATATATATATACATTTTGATTTCTCTATATATTTTTCTTTATATAATTGATTTTTTTCTTTTGTGTTTGAATGTAATTCAATTATTGCTTGGGAAAGACAGACGAAAAAAAGGAGTTGGATAAGCGGAGATGTACGTTTGCTTTTATTATCACAACGCAACGGCGCGACGGATATTTTCCCGAAACGTATAGATTAATGGCTCTTCAAATCGATAAACAAACATCCTTTGCGCAATGTCTCGCAATAAAAATTTCCTATATTTACCTATTTTTTAACGCAAATATTGTGCTTTAACATCGCCGGGTAAAACAAATCTGTGCGTTACATTCGCGACACTCGCCACGGTCCTTTTGTTTGCAAATAATAACAATGGGGCATGCGCGAACGTATGTTCTTATCGTGTGGAATATTGTCGGTGACTTTCGAGCGAAATCCGAGCCCTGTGAAAAAGGGTAGGGATAACGTGTTATCGGTAACTACCAGTCAGTGCGGCTCTTATCTTGGTGGGATTTCGACCTCGATTTCACAGGGTTATCATCGGGTCAAGAGCGCGGATAGGAAAAGTACCATATAGTTGGGAGACCAGGTCGAAAATTGCAAACGAGAGTATGTTTATGTGTATTGCGATAAAAAAACCTCCGTCGGATTCACGTAATCTCTTATGCTTTCATTTCCGTGGGCGTTGAAAAAAAGCAACGGGGTTCTTTCCCCGAGTGAACATTAAATGCGACTCGTTGGAAAAACACTATTCTTCTTATATATTTCTGAACGAAAATAGACACGGGAAATAGACGTTGCGTTTTCGCCAATTGCACGAAATATTTTGCATCCACATTTGCTAAAATGAACAAATGATAGCGAGAACATTTAAAATTAAGAGTGGTGAATATGCGAATATTGATACGCTAAATTATCGCATTATTGACAGCCTTCAGAATACAATAACGGCTTGTTGAATAATTTCTGATTTCATCGGGCGGGATAGCGCTTGAAGCATTTATTTTAGTCCACGATATCGGATTTTTGCGCGAACGTCGAGAAGAGTCAGAGAACAAAACGTCACTTGGATACCTGTCGCGTTAATCATCTAATACCAACCTCGTTAATATCCACCACGACAAAACTCTATCGACGTAAGGAACTTTCCAGATAATTTGACCTCCTTTATATTACTGACGTGCGCGTTTCACATCTTGTCAGATATTCAATTCTTATAAAGCTTGTCATTCATCCAAAGCAATTAGCTTATGTAGCCAATGTTACGAATCTTCCTCTATTTTTTTCTAATTTCATATTCAAAAAGAGGTAGAAAATCACTGAAACCTCAGTTGATTTTAGCTAATGCAAAAAGCAGACGGTACAAAAAATGCAACGGGAGAAGAACGGTGATCGCGTCAGTCCGTAACACGCGCAATTTGCAAAAAAAGAGACACAGCTGCACATTTTACAACCGCGAATGGCTGATACGTTGTACGTGGCCGCGTATTTTCGGTCCATGTGGCAATTGCGCTATTACTATTTCCCCAAGGGCATCAAGAGAGACAGAACAGGGAGAGAGAGAGAGAGAGAGAGAGAGAGAGAGAGAGAGAGAGAGAGAAATATACATACATATAACGCCGACTGGGGTACGTACGTTTTATGATCGCCACTGTACGTGTCCGTGATCGTCGGTACATGTTTTACGTCGGGATTGTACGTGCTCAGGAGAAATTTCATTTTTCCGCAGCCGACCACCTGCGAAACTTGCGGACGCGACGAAAAATTTCGCGGCGTAATTTCGAGGTAGAATCAAATTAGGCTGGAACATCAACCGTCATCGCGATTCGAGATATCACAAGGATAATTCGCCGCGACTGGTGTGCCAGCATTTTTCTTTCTTTCGCCCGCATGTATTATTCAGGAAACGCGAGAAATTCGGTCAGTAAATATACGGTAATATGGTCTACCCTTAATATCGCATCGGAATTTATCGTGAAATATTTGAAGCCTTATAATTTTTTAGATATAGTTTATATATATACGCGCGCGGATTTTTAATTATGAATCAAGATGCTCCGCAGAATTGAAATATTCAACGAAGAAACAGAAACGCTTTCAAACACTTTCTCTAATCTTCCTATCTTACGTCTTTCCTACCTCCTTTCCTAGCACTATCATTTGGTTGCGGAAGTTCCAAAATCCTTGCATTATCTCAGTGGGACACAACGGCGCCGAATATAATAACTTGAACGTCTGCTGACATTCTTTTCCAGGTCGCGATAAAATGCGAGACGCCGGTGGACCCATATTCGTTTGTCGACGAAGAGATGTCGATGGGTGGCATAAGGACAGCAAGCAGTCCAGGCGGCGGCGGCGGCGGCGGCAATCCTGAGAGCATGACGTGTCCGGGCGGCGCCCAACCTGGGCTAGGTACACCCACGACGCCGCCCGGGGCGCTGTCCGGGCCACAACATCATCAGATGAATCTTGTGATGAACGGCGCCGCCAACGTCAATCCGCAGCTGGCGCATCAGCCGAAGAAGCGAGGCCGCAAAAAAAAGTCAGAGATGATACTCACCCCTGAGGAGTAAGAGTCTAACATATATAATCACAATTGCAATTTGTACTAACTTCGTCATTCTTCAAAATACAGTTTTGCTATTTTGCGAAAATTATGTACCCTTTGTTACAATTCAATTACATGCTTGCGTAATCGTGACAATTTTTTTTTTATACACAAAGCCTAAGACGAGACTTGTCGGGTACGTTGTAAGACTCGCTATTTAAGAAAGATTTTAATTCAACGTGGTAAAAGTCCACCGCGAAATATCGGGTGTGTGAAGTTGACTGCGCAACGTAAAGATTCATTTACGGTTTCAATCCTTTAAGGATAAGCATCTTGAAATCATATTTTCACGTATAGTTCTGACCAACATGGTCAGAAGGAATTAAGTCAAAGTTAATATTAAATAACACTTTACACTTTTGCAAAATTGAGTTCAGAAATTTACTATCTATAGCAAAGAAATAATAAGAATAATAATAATAATAATAATAATAATAATTATTATTATTATTATTATTATTATTATTACAAGTATGTTAATGAATACAAAGAGGAGCGGAGCTGAGAAGGAACGCGGACCAGTCACGAAGCCGCGACTCAATATAACCAGAGTTAGTTATATATTTGCATGCAGCCACGGTTAAAAATATCCGCTCTGCTAACAATGTCCGTCTGACCGGGCACCATGTTGCTGATCCGATAGGATCTTCAGTTGCGCTTATTTTTGTGAAGCCAGCCGAAAACTTAAAAATAGTTCCGCATATTAGGAACGTAACACGATCAGATGCGTGCCGCTATTACGAAGATACCTATTAGAAGATAACGCGCTCATTAAGACGTTAATTGAAGATATCTTAAGAGAGAATTATTCATGCTCTCTTGACATGTACATCGGTATGTCTATTTAATTGAATACCCCGTAGAGAGAGCTAAACACAAAGGCTCATTTATGCTAACGTAAATATAAATATTCTGCTTCGTTTCCTCATCATTTTTTTTACGAAATTGCGAAATTACTGTTGCATAAAACTTGAAAGGAAGAACAAATATATTAATTAGTGTGGTCAGTCATCTATTGTACATCTCACTGCAGAACTACGCTAATTTACATTTTTTATTTAGAAAATACTTTAACTCACATTAAATTTTATTCGCGTTCATTAACACATATTCAGAATATCAAAAAATTATTTACCTAACATTTTTTACAAGAAACTACGTCGGAAATGTTATAATATTAATACTAATCGACAGACTAATGATTTAAATTTACAAACTGACACGGAAACCTTAAGCCACGCTTATATAAAGATACTTTATTAAGTATAAAATGTTATTGTTTTCAAGATTGATCCCTCTGTTACATATCACCATTTTATTATCGGAACGTTATGACACTGTCAAGACATGCTTTTGATCGATTCGAAATTTTAATCTCTTATTTGAATTTACGATGACGTTCTGCAATTCTTTCGTGACTTACGACGTATCGTCGTTATTTTCTTGTGACCTTATTGACTCCGTCAGCACAATTTTCATTTCTATTGTCCGTTATCATTTTTACCTTCTCAACGATTTTTTAAAATTTCACCTTGAGTCTTTATCGCCATTCAGCTTACTAACTGTGTAGAATAACTTGCTCTTACCTCGCGAATGCTCCACAATGGTCGCATACAAAAGGAGAGAAAACTGTATATATAGACTCTGACTGTGATTCATTTATTGCTGTAATTATTAAGATTGTAACGCTGAAGATGACTCAAACAGGAGTCGAAACGTACGAAATATGATATTGCTAATTAAATAATGTATATCTTGAACAACCGAAGATTGACTCCTATAGCTTTCTATATGATTTTTTTATTGTTTGTTGTATTTTCATAACGTTTTATTATCCAAGTATGTTCTGTTTAAAAAAAAAAAAGTAAAGTTCGTAAATTGCATTTTGCCATCGTCATTTTATCTTGCGAGATCCGAGCTTATTCATCCCGACGTATTCACGACAGCTTACAAGTCCCAGGTCGATGCAAAACGTTACATTGTGTTACAGTGTCACAAATCGAAACGCGAAGTGTCCAAGACGCGCGCGAGTTCGTCGGTTTGACAAAAAGTAAACGCGGAAAGCCCGCGTGTCCCCTGCCGATCGAGAGAAATAGTTGCGTGCCTTTCGCTGAATCGTATGACGCAGCATAAAGGAATCCAAGGTATTATTAAGGCCCTCTGTATCCACTTTTTTTTTTTCTTTCAGAGCGGAACTCGCAGAGGCCAAGAAACGTGCAAAGACGTACAAAGAGAGGAAGAAGCACGACAGGTTCGACGGCATGCCGGAAGAGGAAGTGAGCAAACGTGTTCTACCGGATCACCTCACCAACAACCTTGACATTATTATAGTGAGTCCATGTATAATTATTTCTAGAGACTCTCGAATAAGAGTTTGGACACGAGCCGAAGTTTTGTGTGCAGAGTAGTAGTTTAACGAGAAAAGTTTACGAGAGAGAAGGATATATATTTACCGTTTCTTTCTCTTCCTCATTCTATTGTATCTTTTTTTTTTATCTATTTCTCTTTTTCTTTCTCACAAATTATTAAAACATGGCTAAACAAAGTGGCTTTCTTAAGTTCAAACTCTCATTAGAGGATCTCTATAATTATTTCATATTCATATTAGTATCGATTCGTATAAATACTAGGATTCGACCTAAACTGACCTACGACTTATGGCTGTTCTTTATCAGATATCAATATTGCGTCATCTTGTCAAGTCGTGTAAATTTCCAGAGAACATTCTATATACCACGTATATAAGCGCGGCTATAACTTTACATTAAAGGTGCTTTAGACAGCTAACAATAGTTATACATGTGGAATACCAGATAGAGCACGCGCGCGTTTCAAACGGATCATTCAGTATCGATAAATTGAATTATACGCGAGGTGGTCGCGAATCGTCTCTCGCGCTAAGTAAGACGACGTTTCAATCCCGCGATGTCCCACTGCCGAACGGTAATAATAATTCATTAAATCGCGTCGTAACGTTAACAACAATAAAAACATAAATTTCACCGGCTCACGCATTTCTGCCGGCACACACCGCGTATATACGCACCGCGGCACGTAATTTATAGCCCGGCATATATCGCGACCGTGCGTGTCATTTGTAATGCCGCATTACCAATGCGCCGCGATGTCGTTCTTGATCGAATGACGGTAATTAATCCGATAGGCGCGTGCGGTGTGGCACGACACGACTCGGCTCGGCTCGGCTTGGCTTTAACCAGCGCGAGAATCCATCTTGGAGTGATCGCCGCGCGAAAACGCGGAGGATTCTCTGCACGCGGCAACGACAAATGGCAATCGCCGCCTCCACAACAGCCGGCCTAATCGCTTTAATGATGCGTGTGCGATTCGGTTATCACGCGGCACGCCGTTGCAACGGTCATTGCGTTCCGTCAGCAGCAGAGAGAACAAGAGAGAAAAACTCGCGGTTTAATCCACGAATTCCTCATCCTAAAATTCCATGACTTTTCTCTGATTTCCAGGTAAAATTTCATGATATTCCCCGACTTTCAATAATATTAAAAAATTTTTGTTGTATTTTCGTTCTGATTTGGAAATCGTTCAATATTTTGTTGAGAAATTTATATAGCAATATAAATTATTATTAATGTTATTAAATTGTTTGTATTTTTAATTGTTAAGTTGGTAGTATTCCAAAGGTGTGATGAGCGTATTAAATGTTTTTAAAACAGAAAATTTTTATTTTTACTGTTTTGCAAAAACAGTTTTGCAAAATTCTCTAGCTTTTGCCTGATTTTCCTGACCGCTTTCAATTTCCCCGACAATCCCGTGATTTCCCTGATTTCCAGTTTTGTGGCAACTCTGAAATTGTTTGGCCACCCGGCCAGTTTCGCCAATGTTGGGAAAACTTAAATCTTGGTTGACTTCTCGTCTTTTTGCGAAACTAGAGAGAATTATAGGAAAGACTAAACCTAATTAGAGGTTAAACTTAATTAACACGACGAAACCAACAATAAGTAAGTTATTAATTGTTCAATAGCACGAGATATATTTTCAGAGATGAAACTGAATCGGAGTTGCTCTCGTAAAATGAAGAGTATCGTCAGACTTGATAAGTCAAATTGTCCGTCAGAGAGTTATTCCGAATTCGTCGGCGGATAAAGAATCGACATTGCGATCGGTTGAAATCCGAAAACAATTTCGGACGATTCAGTTCTACGTACGTGTCATTTTCGTCACCGCGCGTTAGCGTGATCTTTATTGAATGCAAGCGAGAGAATGGGAATTACGTTCTCGTTACAAACGCGACGACCCGCCGCGCGTTGATCGATCACCCGATACCGGTGTAAACGGGTATAAACAGTTTAACGGGTGAGCATCATGGTCATTACGAGTGATTGTTATAATCCGATATGCGGCCGTCGTTATCAAAATTGGGGTGACTTAAATGACGGAACCGAGAGGCTCGTAACGATTTCAGTATTTTAATCGTATCACAACATCCCCGCAACGTAGCTTGATTTATATTCAACCCCGATTCTCTTTAGAATAATGAAATTGTCATATTTTTGACAGCGCGCGCAATTATGTAGTATTATGATGAGTGAGAGCGTATTATTGAAGCAATTTGTCGATTAATTTAGTGTACAAATATTAAAAATTTAATTACTATGATATTACATGTTCTCCCTGTCATCTGTACAGAAGTAGTCTCATGGTACAGAATAATTCCAAAAAGGTGAATAGATTCTAAAACTTATTGACTATCCGATCATGCGTGAATTTTTGTTTTCGTTAACTCAATTTTTGCAACGCGCGTAACTTAGGTCACTCGCGAGATTTTTTTTTAAGCGTTCAAAACGTCGCTGATGAACGAAAGAAAACTCCAGATCGTTCTCATTCTCTTTCTTCCTAAGAAAGGGCATGTATGTTATTTATCGCAAAATAAGGCACGAACGCTGTCGGCCATTTTCATTTGGGGAGTCTGTTAACGCGTTCTACGGTCCATATTCATATATTACCCGAAACGAGTTGTCACCGTGGTCGATCATCCGTCAAGCGGTGTAAACGCTTTAACGGGCCGTGGGCAATTCGGTTATTACGCCCGACGTTGTAATCGAACGCAGCGGGACACTGTTCGTTGCTCCCCATAGAATGCACCCCCAGCGCGATCACCCTCCTCCTCCCCCTCCCTCGCCTGCTTGTCCATCCGCCCCCCGTCCCTCCTCCTCTCTCTCCTCTCATTTCTATCCGTCTCTCTTCCACTCTGCGTTCCGTTCCTACGTGAGCGACGCGCGTTGTTTTCAATCGGTGACAATTCCACACCCTTCCTCACGTCCAACCACCACCTCGTGGCCACCCCCGCCCGTCATTTTATCCTCGTTTATCCCGGCCGCCATTCGGCGCCGGCCGAGCGGCTAACGCATTGGCGTTAACGCGCTAATGCGATACGTACTTTATGTCGACGGCGAGCTGCGGGGAATGGGGATGGAGACACACGCAAACATACACGCACGTTATACGCACGGAGGGTTTGGGTTGTACAGCAGGAGGAGGATTCGTTCGTACGCGACTAATATAACGCGATTTTGACGGTATACGTGCGATATACGTCGTACCGTGGCTTTCTCTCTTTCTCTCTCTCTTTCTCTCACTCTCACTCTTCCTCCCTCTCATCGGAATCGAAGGTGCGATCGAGAAATGCATTACTCGAATCGCAGAGATACGCGGGGATTCCTCAAGAGGCGCGTGAAGCATGTGTTGCGCACTCCATGCGTGCTTCAAAGAGGTATATACTTCATATGGAGAACAACTATTATTAAAAAATAAGCAAGGGCCAAATTTGTAAATCATGTCTTCTATCCTTTACGCCATATTAAAATGCCCGCTTTTTTTTTATTAATCATTTTTCAGGAGTATATACACTGTTAAATACGTACAGTTCGTAATGTTAAATTCTAACCAATTTGAGTTTATTTATAATTATTTCTATAGGTCACTGCTATTATTTAATGCGTCGTTAATTTAACTAGAACAATGGAGTTAAATAATTAAACTCAAGAAAATGTATTAAATTTGACTCGAATTTAGTTTATTGTTTACTAAGTGCAATCGTTAATATGAACGTTGTTTACTTTGAAACTAACCACAGAAATGGATTGATTTACATTTTGACGCGTGAAAGTTAAAAATAACAAAATATTATTTAACTCAAGGGATTTGGTTACCATAGCTCTTTTGTTATTTAACGACGCGCGTAGGAAAGTTTAATTAAAGTCAGGTTATCGGTTTCCAAATCGCTAAAATTAGAATACAGGAATTCCTTCAATATGCATTCGCGTCCGTTTCGATTCTTATTTAATTACCCTAACAAAGCGCGATGTTTCACAAGGTACGATTCATAATAACATCCTCGAGGGCTTCAATGCAGCGTTAAACAGAGGCGAGAACAGAAGAATTCAAACTAATCAGCCGCCGATCCTATCCCGTGCCTCGCGGACGCGTCGCGATTCTTAATGGAACACGCGCGCGCGCGCACACATACACGCATACATGCACGCACGTGAGGCCTGCGGACGTGCACTTTGTCATGCAATTATCCCGAGGAGTATACGGCCCGTTCCGTTGCGTGGTGAATGTTAATCTCTATTTACCGACGACGACGGCGGACGTCGCGTCGCCGTGGCTAGGCGCGAGATAAACGTCGATAAGTTACGACACGAGATTCCCCGGCGGCGGTACAGTCCTCTCACGCGCACCTTGCACTTGCGAAAAGGTCAGTTGAAAGAGTCGAGAAAGAGAGAGAGAGAGAGAGATCGCGCGGGAGTACATCGACGAGGAGAAGAGGAAGGAGGAAGGAGGAAGGTTTAATAGCGCGCGAGATGCGCGCCTAATGGTGCTCGCGCGGCCGCGCACATCACGTATCCTTGGACTTTGTCGTTATTAATTACCTAACCGGCGGAGCGAGGAGCGAAGATAATGCGGTTGTGCAACAGGTACCAACGCCGCACCTGCGCCTCCTCCTCCTCCTCCACCTCCTCCCTCCCGCCGCGCCGTTGCATAATCGCGAGTAAGAAGCGCGCACGTGAAGTCGTACGCGAAACGGGGAAAGAAATCGATCCCTTCTCTCTTCCCTCTTGCTCTTCCTCAATTTAGAGACACTGGAACGTACGCGCGCGTACGGAAGTGCAGCGTGTATCGCCGTGCGCGCGCGAGAGATTAAGTTTAATTAATTAATTCAGTTTACACGAAAAACGGCACGAAACGAGGAAAACCCTTTTACTAGAGAAAACGTAGGAAATTAACTAAGGGTGGATGAATTAAAATAACCGCTAATATTATTTAATAAAGTCGAGCAAATTGGAATTATTACATTACGCGCTTCCATTTTTTTAATGACGATATTAAAATTATTATTACAAAATCATTGAAAAGAGAGATAAGGTATTCGTTCGATGCTCGGAAAATCATTGGAAAAGATTTGTTAATTTCAACATCAGAGAATCATTGCTTTGTTCTATATGTTCAAAGGTTTCAATTATCCCATTTTTCATTTTGAAAAAGAATTCATTGTTCCAATGCAATCTGCTGACGTGGTTATATTCATAGGAAATCGAGTAAAATTGGAAAGAGTATTGAAAGTAGGTGACGATAGATGAGATCTTACAGTAGAATTGCTCGGAGATGCAAAGTATTTGTGCCGTTCCTATTCACAAATCCTACTCGACAAATAAAACATATTAATAATATTAATGAGTTTTTAATTGTGTTTAATAAATATATCTTTCACAATCGAATAAAAGAATTGCTGAAGCAAGCTAGACGAAAGATGAGCAGCTTGGAATTTTGTATTTTGCAGATTAAAAATGCTCCATTGAAGTAGGTATTGCCTTCGCAATGGCGAAATTAATTTTGTCGCATGTAATATGGGCGCACGCAATTTCTCGTTGAACGTGCTTTTTTGGAAGCTTTGGGAACTAAATTAAACATTATGCATGTAGCACATTCAAACCATATTTCCATAATATATGCTTCATTTTATTATACATTTTTTCTTTTTTATTTATAATCACGATCGGACGGCACATTTTCTACCGTTAAAAATATTATTTTTCAAAGACACGCGTACAGATTCGATAAAGTTTTATTCATTATATGCTTTCATTAAATTCGAACCATCAACATAATTTGCCATTAGTTTTCATCATATTGCATTTATATACATAATCAATCACGCCACGGTCTGCTTTAATTAACACTATACAGATTTACAATCGATTCTCATTCCCGCCGTTTACGCCTGCATTTTGTTATAACATTCCACATGTTAAACGAAAGAAACATCGGTGAAGTGAACGTTTTTCTCTAAAATCTCGGACTTGGCTTTGACAATCGGTAGAAAGGGAAATTAATTACGTCGACAACAACGCGTGACGCAAGCGACTCGTCTCTCCTCGGCATTTTTCCTCGTTTGGATTTAGAAAAAGTCAAACTCGACGAAAAGTCAAAGATATGAAGAGACAATAATTTCACCCTTTCGAAACATGAAAATAAGTATGAATAAGAATTTCTAGACGAAGGGAAGGGGAGGGAGAATCCGAGGAGTTTTCAAAGCGGAACAAATACAGCGACGTCGACGCGAGAGACTTAAGAACATCCGTTTGTTTTTGTATTATCAACGTGGCTAATTAAAATAACAATATAAAACAATCATGTCTACAGCTAGCGCGAACGCGTATGCAATCATATATTCGCGATTTCTTCAGACTTCATTATTAGTATTGTAAAATGATGTCTAGAAATGTTTCAAATATTCTAACCAGGCATATTTGTCTTACTTTACAGATTGGTATCAATCCCGGACTGTTCGCAGCTTATAAGGGACATCACTATGCTGGACCTGGAAATCACTTCTGTGAGTGATTCTATCGTACATTTTTATCGTATATTTTAATCAAAAAAAATAACTAATTTTATTATGATAAATTAATCTAATTTACTTCGCATCTTAAACGAAAACGTTCGAGTAATGCGATCATAACTACAAAAATAATAATAAAAGATGTTTCGTCACGAGAGCTTGTTAGCTTAAGCTGTAAAGTCATAATAATAACAAATGGAAAGCGCGAGCAAAGGAAGAGTCTTGTAGCCACTGGCAGGTACTTCTACCAGGACATGAATTCGCAATTCGAATTCCGAACATCCGTATAAACGAGCGCCAATGTGTCCGACAATCGTGGCGCTAACGAACCCACACCATTACCATAGTCTTGCAAGCGAGCCTCGCCTTTGCGTCTCTCGAAGTTTCCGCATAAAATTGCATAATGTTATACCCGCCCTCGGGAAAATCGAGTGCGCTTTGCGCGCGCCTCATCTTAGACGCGCTTCGAGGAGAGTAATTATCAAGTCAACGAGAAAATCAGAGTCGGCGAGAAAAATGGGAGACAGAAGGTGAATGCCGGGAGCGATTATCGTTCAGGGCCATCATTCTGAAAAAAAAAGAAAAAAAAAGAAAAACAAAATCGAACGGTTCGTCCGCGTAAAGGGAGTAAAAACGCGAAACATAAACGTTAAGTTAATAATAGAGCTAACTTTTTTGCGTTGATTAATGCGTAATCAGGATTTTGCGATAAATGTATAAACCGGGATTCGTAAATGAACTGAAACAAACATTACGAATGGTAAAATTTGCGGATCCGGGAAAAGCTCGTGGAGAGCCTAGCGGCGACCCATGACCCGAGCCCTCATCTCGCGCTTTTTTCTGCACCGGAGAATCCGGGATCTGAAATCGCGAAGCCTGCATCGATGAGCACACAACGAGAGAGCCGTTGCAACGCGCATAAATCACCCACAGCGCGGATGTAAAACCTACAGTTTTAATACGGCACATACCCCATGTACATACGGTACGTGTTTATTTTTGCCTTGCTCGCAACGTCGATTAATACATTTTAATATGATTTATATGCGGCACAACGCGGACATAAAAATCTTCATCAATTTCGTACAAAAAAAAAACTCACTCCCGGGAGAAGGTATGCCGAAATAATTGGGTCCTTTGTATCGCGTGATCCCCGCGTGACGTGCCAATTTTTCTATTATATTAAAAGCAAAAGAGTACTAATCGGCCAAAGAAACATATTTACAGAATGTTCGGAAAGTTCAAAAGAGATATTTATATCGATGAGAAAAGCTACCTAATACCTGCACACGTTAGAATCCAACGGGTAAGACTCTACACTGTTAAATATCGTAACTGTCAAATTCTACCCAATTTGAGTTAATTTTGATCATTTCTATAGATCGACGCTACTCAATGTGTCGTTAATTTAACTAAAACAATGGAGTTAAACAATTAAACTGAAGAAAATGTATTAAATTTGACTTAAATCTAGTTTATCAAGTGCATACGTTAATAGTGACGTTGTTTACCTTGAAAGTAATTGTAGAGAAGAAATTATTTACATTTTGAAAGTTAAAAGTAACCAAAATGTTATTTAACTCGAGGGATTTGGTTATCATTACTCTGATATCCGACAGGGTAGTAATAATTTTGATTCGTTGGTCAAAGTACCCTATAATGTGGTGCCTGATCGAAAATACAGATGAATTCCCTGCTTTTCTTGGATTCGCGCGCAGTTTGATCACCGAGAACGAACAGCCCCGGCTATCTTGGATGCAACTGCCAAAGCGCACGCACGGCAAGCACGTGCGTATTAATGCGCCCCCATGCACGACGTATCGCTGGCGGGGCCCCCGCGATTTACGTGAACCTGCACGAGTCCGCGCGCTTATCAGCGGTGGGCGCGTTGTACGCATACAACATGCTTAATGTAATGTAGTGTAATATATAATATAAACGCACGGCTACCTGCAGGTTTACGCGCCCGATTATTACACTGCCATAATAGCTGGAGGCGTTTGCTTTCGTCCGAGTGTATCGCGATCAAATATTTGCCCGTACCAACGTAATGACAATATAAGATATATCGGGAAACGCGTACATAAGTAAACGCAGGTGCGGTACTATTAACGCACATTGTTAATCACGAGCATAGTACCTGGGATCGTTGTTACTTTATTTGTGCGAATCAATCGGAAAAAAAGACACCGTCCGAGAAAGTATTACGTTAGGCGATAGTTGACACATATTGTAGTTGGAACTGTAATCTTTATAATCCGAATGATCAGAGAGAACTGAACTCTTCCGAACATACGCATTAACTTCATTATCCTTTCACGTTAATAACAGAACAATACTTGTTTAAACTGTAATTAGATATCGTCTGTCGATTCTTTTCTCATCTTCATCCGTAGCGAACCATGTAGCGAGAAATTCTACAAATTACCCGCGATTTTCTTCATCTTTTTCTGTATATATATTTTCTCCATTGTTTCGAGTTTCTTGCAAATTTTCTCGATTTCCTTCTCTTTCGAGAAGATTTCGAGAGATTTCGATAATACCGGGAATGAATCGGACGCACGGTGCGTTCGGTGCATTCACGTGCGTTCACGTTCACCGTTCTTACATATGCAATTTCCAATGCGTGCACGCGCGGCGCACGCGCGACCATCCCCGTGCGCGCGTGCATCCGCTCGGGCTTTAAATAAACAATTTTCGCGCTAACGGCCTGGCCGATGCCCATTACGTACGCATGCCTCCCGCGGCGCCTGTATACGCGCTCGTACGCAACAACGCCTATGGGGTGTTCCAAAAATCGTTTCTTTTATCTAAAAACCCTGCTATCAAGTCGGAATGGACTGTTATGGACTGTTTCCCCTCAAACGTTTGAAAAGGTATTACTTTTCTTCGAGTTCCGCATGTCCTACTTTACAGGATACAAAATTTCTCCTCACGTATAATTAATTAGATTTCCTTAATTTTAATTGAAAAGAAAAAATGCAGATGGTGGTATTATTTATGTATTTTTATATTTGTAGAAAACAAAAAGCTCTCCCCTCCATTAGGAATAATTGATAAATGCTTTGAGGAAAGAAAGCGATCATGATTTCGGGACACCCGGTAGCTACACGCAACCTCTGCTTGCGTGTGTCACCGGTACACGCACGTGCAGCATATATGCATGCATACATACATACACACATACATATACGCCACGGTGAAGTTAGGTGCACGCCGCTGGATTTTCCAGGGTTTTCCCAGGGTTGCGGTAGAGCGTTGAACCGGGTGGAGGGTGGGCGACGGTGTAAGGGTGGAAGGGAGAGCAGCAGCGAGCGAGTGGATGGTGGTGGCTGAGGCGGGTGAGGAGGAAGAGGAGGAGGAGAAGGATGAAGAGGTGGTGGCCGCATGGAGAAGAGGGGTAAAGAGGGATAGATGGATGAAGGGGGTGGGAGTGAGCGCGGTGAGGGAGGGAGAAACTATAATGAGTGGTGCGCGCAAGGGAGAGCGGGATAAAAAGGGGGATAGGGGGTGGTAGCGTAGGCAAGGAGGGCGGCTGGGCGGAACGGGGGAAAAAGCAGGGTTTGCTCGCTGCGGATGGCGGAAGAGGGGTAGAAGGGGGATGGATCGAGCACGACGGGTCAATTTGAGTATCCGGGGGTGTATGGGGATGAGAGGGGTTGGTGGAAGGCGGGAGGGCGTGCGGACGCATGGTCCAGGGGCCTAAAGGCAGTAAACGTCGAAAAATCCGACCGCGTTCGGGCCGTTCGATGGCTCGGAAGAGGGTCGAAGCCGCGATCGACCATTACAACGCGCGAGTCGAGTATCGCGCGTCGTGCACCGGTGGTGCGCGCGGTGTAACGTCGAGAGACCGCACTGGGGATAGGGGTGAAACACACACGCGTATTGAGAGAGATAGAAAGAGAGAAAGAGCGAGAGAGAGAGAGAGAGAGAGAGAGAGAGAGAGAGAGAAAGCGCGAGCGAGAGGGCGAGGGAAAAAGAGAGAGACGCGGGGCTCTTTTCCGTAATTTCGGGGTGAGCCGGCAGGGTCGATTAACGGGGCCGTGATTCACCCGTTAGATCGGTAAGGAGGAAGTTCGCTCGTTCGCACGCGCGTCCGAGATCTCGCGATACTTCGATCTGTTTTCTTAATCCTCGCGACTGCAGTGGAGTACATGAGATAAGTGTTTCACTTTGTTGATCTTCGTGGTGATTTCTCATCGCAAGCTGGAAATTCCTTCTCCATAGTGAAAACTTTACGACGATTTCATTCATTTTTGTGAAACTGCCCGACACACTTTTGTACACACTCAACCGAATTCATAATGCAAGGACTCGCTAAGGATGTATAATGCTTGCAAGATTCTTGGTGGAGTTGTAATCATGTGAGAAAAGTACATTTATATATTTATTATTTATGTGTGCAAGTACCTTAAAAATTTATATGACGCATGCTCATTTAACAACATAGGAATCGAGTTCCGTATTTGAACTTTGAACTGGTTAAACTGGCTTCTTAGTTAAATGAGATATAATTAGAACATGAGGTTTGGCAAAGTTAAGCGGATACGTAATTGTGAATTGCTCATTAATTCATAAATCTTCGACGCGATTTCATTCATATTTCCATTCTCGCGCTTTCCACCTTTTTTGCGAGTTTTATCACTTCGTGTTCTTAGTATCGCTGTGATACGTTAAGCGTGAACTAGTTCCGTGGTATTCAAATTCAAATGCACTCAGCTTCATACAGGCGGATCTGTTACACGCATTTGTCCGGTTCAACACCAACGTGCTGTATTTTACAATGTGTTATAATCATGTTACCGCAATGTTACTGCAGATAACGTACGCATCGTGAAACGCCCCTATCCGTGGATATATATATAATATTATCTATTTGTAATATGCAGGATGTCTCAGAACCATCATATTTTCTCTCGTTAATTATAGCTGTTACGAACACAGAATGTTTTTTTGGATGGTGAAAATGTGAGAAGCTCGTTGCTGTATTAAAT